CCCCATCTCTCCCTTCCTTATTTCTCCTGGGGTCAGCAGTTCTCCGGCTGGCTGGGGAAGGCAGAGGGCATAAGGAATGTATCCCAGGAGCGCAGAGAGGAAAAGATGTTGAAGAACTGCTGCTGTAGCTCGCTCCTTCTCATTAGTAGGAGCGGTGTGACGGTGAGCTGCTTGCGACTTGGTGGCATGTGTATCTGGGACCTCTGCCAGAACATCCATTTGGTGTGAGCTTTGCTTGATGGAGTGATACAAATAGCAGAGGGACTTGCAGAAACCAGGGACTGTCAGCCATAGTTGCTGCTTTGCTTTTTATTTTTATTATACTGTTAGGCTTTTAAAGTGACTTGAAGTACTTTTTGTCTGGAGTAAATCAGAGCTTTCTAAAGCCAGCATTAGTAAAGAAATCCTTGAAACTTAGGTGCAGTCATTGAAGTTAGAGAGACTAGAGCAGGGGGCTCGAGTGTTCAGAGCATCACGTCCATTCCTCTTATTCTTTTCTCCCCGAGGTGTGTTTACTCGTTTTAATAGAATCTGTGTATCAAGGCCAAAATACTGAATATCTCTCTTTTTCCTCTCTGAAGTTTGCTTTTACCGGGGGAACTGGAGGCCCTTTGAGGCCCTTTGATGCCTGTGGAAGGTGGGGAAGGCTGATCAGTCCTTTCTTTAGAAAATTTACTGGCATTTGATAAGGAATCACTGAGCTACACTTTTGAATTTGTGTGTTAAACGGTAAAATTAATCTTGGAGCTGTCTTATTTTTTTATGTGAAAGAGAGAAAACAAGCAAGGGAGAAACTGATTCCTCCCATATTTCTTTTATTCAAGATAGTAATACAAAAGAGCTCTTCAAGTGTGGTTCAAGATGATAATAAGAAGATGATAATAAAAAAGAGCTCTCTGAGTGCGGTTAGGGTGTATTTATTCACCAGCCTCGCAGGAAGTGGTATTTTCTGTGCAGCATAAAAACACACAGCTCTCAGGTACTTCTCTCAGAGTTACAAGAAAAGCAATGTGCACACCCAAAACAGCCCAACAAACCCAAAACATCCAACTCTCCAAAACAAACTGCAGCCAGAGCGGGACTGCCTAGCAACACAACTACCTATTCTGAAATTTTCTGTCCCCAAATTATCATTTTATTTTCCCTCCAGAATATCTAAATTAAAAGGAGGACAAGTTGCCAAGCTGATTTATTAGTGAGCAATGGTGCAACTGGTTAGAACTCTCCTGTCCTTCTTCCCACAGTCCACTTGACCTTAAGGGCCAATTTTATGTTAAAGCACAATGGAGATTAGAGTATCTTACGTGTCATCCCCTGGTGTCCTGTTTCTGCTAAAATGTCCCTGTAATGAATAAAACTATTTGTTGTACTTCCACTATGGCATGTTGTACATGTCATACATGTATGGCCTGTTCTATCCATTATATGACTATGGTGCACATCAGTGGGTATTTCAGGATTATTTGCATTGCAAGGCGTGTTTGTGTGTGTTTGAGAATGACCTCAGTTTCCTGGTAGCAAAGCTATTTCACCATTTTGGCTCTATCTGGACATGCCCAGGAACCTTAGTGTCTTTTTCTAACGACTTGTGTTTAGGAGTTGGAAATGGAAATAATTTCTTAGCAGCTTTATGAATGTAGACCAAACTGATTGTGAATTGGTATCTATGGCATAGAAACTCTGTAAGTAAATTAGATGTAACTTCAAGGGCTAATGGGTATATCCTCATTAGTAGGGACAATTAGTGAAAAGCCAGCAAGGGATACAGCTGCATTTGAGTTAGTCTGGCTTGTTTGGTTGATTTTATTGCTGTAAACATTGTCCATATGCTGAGCGGAATTCAAAGGGCTTCCTTGTTTGATACTCTGGCCCTTATTCAATGGAGTTCTTAATCAGAAGCCTAACTTCAAGCATATGGATAGTCCCACGTATCATAGGTGTTGACAAAGCCGTCTCCAAGAGTCTATTTGCTGACTTCTTTAGCTATAGCCTGTTGTGTTTTCTGCTGGCATAAGAAGTGATATTTGACCATTCATCCTATATTATCTTCCTCTTCCTACTTTTTCACCCCCAAAACACGTTAGGCTCTTTCAGACTAGAAGGATTTCATTCCTCTTAACAGAGTGGATGAGGCATGGAAAAAGAAATATTTATCAAAAAGGTCAAGACAACAAAATTCTACAGAGCATGGAAGTTTCAAAACACATTAGTTTGCAGTGAGGGGCAAGTGACTTCTCAGAGTGGCAAAATTATATCCCTAATGAAAAGAATTTCTACTTTCACATGGACAGTCACAGCATCACAGAATGGTTGAGGCTGGCAGGGACCCTTGGACATCATCTAGTCCAACCCTCCTGTTGAGAGCTGGGTCAGCCAGGGCAGGTTGCTCAGGACTGTGACCTGTCAGATTTTGAGCATCTCCAAGGATGGAGACTCCACAGCCTCTCTGGGCAACCTGGTCCAGTGTTTGATCAGTCTCTCAGTAAAAAATTTTCTTGTGTTTAAGTTGAGTTTCCTGGATTTGAATTTGTGCCCATTGCCTGTCATCCTGTCGCTGGGCACCACTGAGAAGAGCCTGGCTCCATCTTTTTTACTTCCCCCCATCAGGTGCTTACACACATGGATAGGATCCCCCTGAGCTTCTCTTCTCCAGACTAAATACTCCCAGCTCTCTCAGCCTCTCCTCATACGTCAGATGCTCCAAGCCCTTTCATCATCTTCCTGGCCCTTTGGTGGACTCGGTCCAGCATGTGTCTGTCTCTTTTTCTGGGGAGCTCAGCACTGGACCCAGCCCTCCAGCTATGTCTCACCAGGGCTGAGGAGAGGGGAGGGATCACCTCCCCCGACCTGCTGGCGATGCTCTGCCTAACGCAGCCCCAGAGGCTGTTGGCCTGCTTTGCTGCAAGGGCGCATTGCTGGCTCATGGTCAGCTTGTTCATCAAGACCCGCAGCTGCTTCTCTGGGGAGCTGGTTCCCAGCCTGCACTGGTGCCTGGGGTTATTCCTGCCCAGGCGCAGGACGTGGCATTTCCCTTCGCTGAGCTGCATGAGGTTCCTGTTGGCCCCTTTCCCCAGCCTGTCCGGGTCCCTCTGGGTGGCAGCAAGACCCTCTGGTGTATCAGCCACTGCTTCCAGTTTTGTATCATCTGCAGACTTGCTGAGGGTGCCCGCTGCCCCATTGTCCAGATCACTGATGAAGAGGTTAAATAGTCTTGGCCCCAGTACCTTCTGCTGGGGTGTACCGCTAGTGCCTTGGCTCTAGCTGGACTTTCTGCTGCTAAACACAACCCTTGAAGCCCAACGGCTCATTCCGTTTCCAGTCTACTTCGCTGTCAGCTTAACTAGATCGAACCACATCGCTTGTCTACTAGGATGTTATGGGAGATAGTGTCAAAGGCATGACTGAAGTCAAGATAAACAACATCCACTGCTCTCCCCTCGTCATCAAGCAGTCATCTCATTGTGGAAGGCTATCAGGTCAGGCTATTGGGTTGGCGTGAAAGGAATGGGGATGAAAGCAGCAGCTAATACACTGTTGCATTACCTTCTCAGCCAGTGAATTTGCTAGCTAGCTGTTCAAATCTCAATAGACGGTGAAACTCAGATGTAATTTTAAGCCTGAAACTGGCTATTTTTAAGATGGAAAAAATGTATTTTAATTTACTTTAACAAATAATTAGTAAAACTTTTCAAGCTGCTTTTTTTTTATTCTAGTTGTAAAAAAAAGGACATAAAATCAGTGCAAAAATTATTCCTGAACTTTGGATCAAGCAGGTCAGCAGTAATAATTTTTGAGCTCTTTAGGCATTAGAGGGAAGAAGGCCACATAACACTGCAATATTATGGCTTTTCAAATGTGACTAGATGTTTTCATACTGTAAGCTCAATCAGAGTGAAATCTGGAGTTTGCGATTTTGTGTACTGTTTTGCTATTCTGATCGGGGTCTTTTTTTTCCTCTAGTTGTAGTTTAACTTTTTAACTTCTGTGCTAGTTAATAATTTGTAAGTGTTCAATACTATACTAGATTTACAGGGAGTAACTTTGGCTCACTGCCTGCATAAGTAGTGCTTTTTCTTTTTTTTTAAGTTTTAATGTGCTGCAGCTCTGTGGCCACTGTTGAGTCATGCTGTGTAACTAGGCCAAGCAGGGATGTCTTGCCTATTTCTGTCTTTCTAAGGATATTTCTAACATTTGGCTCTAATTAAGAGAATGAAGAAAGGAGGGAAAACAAGATATTTTTTTACATGACCTCCAATTACTTAAGGAGAGAGTTAAACTTAACAGTTTGAGTTCTTTTGTTAAAATGAAACTAGAGCGTTGGTCATTTGTAATGTGTAAGTACTTTCATGGGGAGCAAATACTTGATGCTAAAATAGGGGGTTACTAAAAGGTCACTTTAACAGGAGCAGAAGGCATTACAGAAATCAGTGGCTGGAAGCTGAGGCCCGAAAATTTCAAATTAGATGCAGGGTTCATATTTTTAATAAGAGAGGTGGCTAACCTTTGGAGGAAACTGCTGGTTGACAAACTAAATATTTCTTTTTAGTAAAGACTAAAAGATTATCTGGAAGATGCACTGTAGCCAAACATAAATTTGTCCTCTATTCAGACACAGTTGAACCTAATGCAAGAGCAACAATCTGAAATAAAATGGCTTGTGATAATGCAAAAAGTTAGATGAGAATGGGGTGGGGGGTCAGCATCTCAGTCTGGATCATACGTGGCCCCTCATCCAGCCTGCCACTCTCTGTTGCTGTAGCACTCATCCGTCATGAGATGGAGTGAAAAGTAGCATGCCTCTGGGAAGATTGTGGCTAATAGCTACTTCTGCTAAGGCACACGATTGTCCAGCCTGTAGACTACTTTGCGTCTGCTCCTGAGGCTTTGCCAGACAGACCATTCTGGTGGTGCTAACCTGCCTCCAGGTCCCTCTGTCTGAGGACAGTCAAGAGCATGCGGGAGCAAAATCACTCCAGCACTGGCTTTTGAAGTTCAGCTAGTGTCACACTTGTATAATGTTTGCGTGAAGTCTGGGATTAGATATGCAGAAAATGTTGAAGAGGGCAGACATGGATACAATCATTTAGAAAGACAAGGTGACCTACTACCCACAGTCAAAATTCGAAGACTGGAAAATCTGGGAGCAACTCGGAGCAAATGCCCCAGGAAAGTTCTTGTCACCGGCATAGTGTAACCATACAGGAATGAAGCTGAAGGAACCCTATAACTCCCCTTGAGAGATAGAAAATGGTCTGCGATTAAGACCTAGGAAGGAAACCGTAGAAGATAAAGATCTTGTCAATGCAAATTTAAGGCTGGAGTTGGCAGAGGAAGTCGCGAGTTATAAGGTACTGTTTAGCCTGCCCTCCCACATTATACCTCACATATTCTGCCCAGTAATTCTTCTGTGAACGTCATAACTTCTGTTGAACTCAGTCAGACCTTTCCGGAAAAACAGATACAAGGCAAGAATGGGCAAAGAGCAAAAGTATTGTAGCTCAACATGTCCATTTATAAAATGGAGAAAACATCTGGCTAATTCACAAAGGCATAGCTGTGTGGATAGGGTATCCTCTGATCCTCCGATGGAAGCTACAACAAATACAACATGTTGTTTTCTTCTTGTGATCCTGGGCGTGTGTAAGGCCTTGAAGATGAGTTGGCTATGAATCAATAATGTGTGGAGCAATTAAGAAACCCATATAATTTAGTGAAATTATCTTCTTATGACAGCAGAAGCTACACTGAGACTCCTGTAGCGAGTTTATAGTTCTGTCACCGCTTGTGATCCTCCGACTGTTGTGAACCAAGCCTGAGACTTCCAAAAGCATGTCAGTGCATCAGCGTTCCGCTCCCAGTGAACTCCACTAGTCTTCTCTAGAAATCTCAGGCATGAATTTCCAAGCAGATTGCCTGCTGTTATCTGACCCACCTATAGAAACTCCAACTATGAGAAAAGTTGTTTATTCAAATGACTGGCCTAAGAATAAAAATGGCATTTATAACGCATTTCAGAAATTGGTCGATTATAATTCCCGGGAACTTGTGTCCAGAACACAGGAACCACTCTGATCCTTCTGCGTAGGGCTGGGAAGATGATAGGAATTGGTATGTTGTCAGAAAATTGGTTTTTGTTGTGAGATTTATTTTTTGACTGTGAAACATTGCCTTAAGTGGTGTGGTTTTGTTGTTATTTTTGTTATATGCATGGTACATGGGCTTAGGGACTAACCAGGGACCACTATGCAAAGTGTCATGTTCATTTTGCAGATGGTTCCTGCTCTAAGTCATACTTGAAATAAATTGTCATAGCACAAAATAAATCATTTGATACTTAAAGGAAAGTTATTAGTTTGTGTAAGCAGAAACATTCTTTGTTACTAAAATCAAAGAGGTACTCTTAAAATGCGTAACTCCATCAGTGCTTTGAGATCACTTTCATACTTCCATTTTGGTCATCTTGTTCTGTTGAGATAAAGAGGTGGAGTCACCATTTTGGAGGAAGCTCCACATACATGGCCTTTTATAAACCATATAAATCAAACCATCAGACTTGATTTTTATTATATGAACCCTGCTTTTATTACATTTACCCTGCTTTTGAATTTTGAATATAATCAGTGTCACAATGACCTTACAAATATCTTATCGAAACTTTTTATCTCATAATGTCATACCCAAATACTCTCATCATCCTATACCACATCGTCTTCCCCACCTTCTCAATACATTCCAAGCTTCAATTAGCACATCACACGTTTCATTGCCTCTTACCTAATTAGCAGGAATCAATTCCTTCTTCTGAGTTATGGAAAAAGAAATTATTTGTCTTTCAGGCCACCCAACAGAGATCTTAATCTGCTGGGCCTCTCAGAAATCCCAACCTTTATTTACACCACTGCAATTACTTAGCAAACAAACCAACCAACCACCATGGTCTACAGTGCATTATAAAGTGATATTTGTCAGCAAGATGGTATGCACTGAACTCAGCACCTCTGTGCTCTGAGTATTACTGAGGTTTTGTAGGCGGCATAGGAGAGGAAAATTTTGGAGAGGGAGCTGAAAGAAGATTATGTGAAGCAAATGACAGATTTCCTCTCAAGGTTAGCCAGCTCCTTGAGGAATGGATACTGTCTGTTAGAAGATGCTGACACAACCTGTTAATAGAGATATCAATTTCTAGATGTTCTGCAGGCATTCTTATAGTTACTCCAGGTATTTAGATGATCCAGACTTGGATCTCTGGATTGATTTGTTTCTTGCGTCACAGTGCCTAATATCGCATGAGGGCCTGCTGGGGTATTTAGCACTAGCCTGGAGTACCATGACAGCTGAGACAAAATGGTAGGATCTTTCTGCTACAGCTTAGGAAATTCTGAGGCATTTGATGGGAAATTTGATTTTTTATGGGAGGCCCTATTTTTAAGCATGTCTCTTTGTTAGAAAGGCCTGATAAAAGCTGTGGACTGGCTTGGAAAGAGAGCCCACCTAGCACAGTGTTGCTTCTCTGAAAGAGGCTGGTAGGAGATACTGATGGAGAAGTATAGGATCTGAATGTGTCCAAAGGCTGCATTTGAATCACTGTGTTTTGTAGTCACTGAAGACTGTTTATCCTCTGAATTTATCTAATCTGTTTTGAACCCAATTTTACTTCAGCCTCCAGAACATCCTGTGTCTCTGGGTTTGGCAAATTGTAGAGTGAGGAAAAAAGCTAAATTTTTCCTTACTGTTTTTTTTAGTTATAAGCAGCCTGTTGAGGTATGTATGGTAAACACCTGTGCTCAAGGGCGGCTTGCATCTGTCTTTCTGTTCCTTTGTATTCAGTGAGTGTTGCTGACAGAGTGACAAGTACTACATATAAAAAATTGGTTACCAAATGAGAAGTATGAGAACAAATAATCTTTTCAAGAAGATTATATATTCTCTTCACAGATGGTGGCTTTTTAGTGTTCACAGACTCAGTTTCAAATGAGATAAGAACATACATACTTTTTTTACGATCTTTTGAAACTTACTGTAGCCCATAAAGCAGCTTGTGATACTGCTGTTGTGAAAATACTCATTTTTGCATAGGCGATGTGATCTCTTGTTCTGTGGTGGTATGAGGTTGGAATGGACTCTTTTAGTGGTTAATGGGTCGTAGTCAACTTGGTAGCCTGTGTCAGGTGGAGTAGCACAGGGTCTGTGCTGGGACATGCCCTGTTTAACATCAGTGACCTGGGGGAGGAGAGCAAGTACACATTCACCAGGTTTACACATTACATCAAACTGGGGGAACCAGTCAGTATGCTAAAGCACAAGGTTGCCATTCAGAGGGACCTGGGTGGACTGGAGAAATGGGCCAACAGGAATCTTAGGAAATTCAGTAGGGACAAATGTGAAGTCCTGCACCTAGGAAAGAAGCAATACAGGCTGGGGACTGACTGTGGGGAGCAGCTGTACTGAAAGGGAACATAGGGATGTGATAGACAGCAAGCAAACATGAGCCAGCGCTGTGGCCTGGCAGCAAAGAGGGCCGACAGCATCCTGGGCTCTTTTAAAAGGAGCAGAGCCAGTAGATGGAGGGAAGGGATTATCTCCCTCAGCACTCATGAGAGCACATCTAGATACTGCGGCCAGTTTTGGCCCCCTGAGTATAGGAAAGACATCAATAAACTGGAATGAGTTCAGCGAAGGCCCACCAAGATGGTTGGGGGCAGGAGCACGTGCCATGTGATGAGAGGCTGAGGGACCAGGGCTGGTTCGACCTCGAGAAAAGACGGCTTCAGAGGGACCTGATAGCTGCCCCTCACTGCTTATGTGGGAGTAATCGAGGAGAGAGAACCAGGCTGTTCACAGCAATGCACACTGGTAGGGTAAGAGTCAACAGGCAAAAGCTGAAACAAGAAGGGTTCAGACTGGATGTAGGGAGAAACTTTTTCTCCACCAGGATGGCCAAGCAGTGGTTGCCCAGAGAGGCTGTGCAGTCTCCATCCATCCTTGGAGTTTTTCAAGACTCACCTGGATAAAGCCCTGATCTGATCTCACAGCTGATCCTGCTTTGAGCAGGAGGTTGGACTGCAGATTTTCTAAGGTCCCTTCCAGTCTAAATTATTCTATGATCATAGGATCCTTCAGTTATGCCAAGATTTCACCCAGGGTGCGTTTGTATATGCCAGTCAGTGACAAGCTTGATGTGTGTTAAGGGCAGTTAGCATATACTAGTATGTGGATTGCATAAAGATAGGTTCAGTGCGTAATGTCTGCTGCTTTAGAAGGCAGAGGCCAAATTGTTTTTTCTTTAAGTGTCAGTGTCCCATCCTGCAGTAGGTGTGTGTCAACTTGGGAAAGGTTTTTTTAATGGTATTGTTTGTCAGGGTCACTCAGGTTCTGTGTATCTGCTTGTCTTTCCAATGGGGATATGAAAGAAAAAAGCAAATGTGGTCCTACTACAGCTCCCCTTTTCTTTCTGTAGTAGTGAGATGGACCTTGAAATGTATCCAACCAGTTATTTTTATCAGACTTCAAACTTGTTCTTTCTAGATTTGTTTGGTGAATAAAGATTATCGTCCTTTCTCCTTTCATCTGCTTATTTTTGGATGTTGCAAATAAATAAATGAAAGTAGTAATCAATTTCTCCACAGTACAATTTTGTGTATGATTCAGTATGGTTTCAAATGTAATACAATTAAATTCCTACTGTCTTGCAATGTAGTAATTGGAAATTCTGCCCAAGAGAAAGAAAAGAAACTGCAAATAGCCTAGAATATGTTCTCTTCTTGGGTTTTTGTGCTGTGTCTTAAAAAAATGCAGTAATATCATCTCTGATGCAACCAGTGATGACAAATTTTATAGGAGCTATGATAAACATGAAGATTAAAAAGTATTATTGTTGAGGATTGTTGCTGTTAGTGCTACATGGCCTGAAATAAAATCCAGTTATGACAATCTAGATACACTTTGTTGTGCTGTAAGATACCGTGATGTTCATTGATGTGCTGCTGTTTGCTAGACGTTATCTGTGTTTCCTAGAGC